CTACTGCACTTCATCATATGCTGTTCCCAAATCTCCACTTTCTAAGCTTCAGTAGTCCAGAATGCTATTGCTAGACTACTCACGCATTCCAGTGAAGTCCATCATTTTTAACTGCTTCAGTATCCATCTTTTCATTGAAATTTGCCATCCTGATTTTTGGAGCTCTAAGAACCTACCCCATCTTCCCCAGCCCTAAAACACTCGTCACTAACAAGTGGGTAGTCATTTTTCCAGAAGTGAGGGTCTGGGGGTAAATGGAGAATCATGCATGGTACAGTAACTCCCACTTAACATCCTCTCGCTTAATGTTGTTTCAATCTTACGTCCCTGCTCAATTACAGAACATACTCCATTTAAAGTTGTGCAATGCTTCGCTATAACGTCATTTGGCCGCCTGCTTTGTCCACAGCTGGCAGCCACCCTATCAGCTTCCCTACGCCCCCCCCCCTCCCCACAGCGCCTCCTGCCTGCCGGCAGACCCCGCAGATCAGTGCCTTCCCCCTCCTAGCCGCCCCCCCGCCTCCTGCCCACGGCAATCAGTGGGCTTGCAGCGTTCAGGAGGGAGGACTTGGTACACAGGCTGCCCATCCCTCCCCTGCCTCCTGAATGCCGTAAACCAACTGATTGCCGCGGGCAGGACGGAGGGGGGAGGAGCGAGGACGTGGCACACCTCCCCCTCCCTCCCCTGCCTCCTGCCCATGGCAATCAGCTGGTTTGCGGTGTTCAGGAGGCAGGTGTGGGAGGGGGAGCCTGCGCGCCGTGTCCTCGCTCCTCCCCCCTCCCTCCTGAATGCCGCAAGCCAGCTGATTGCCGCAGGCAGGAGGCGGGGGCGGGGGAGGAGTGAGGATGCAGCGTGCGCAGTAAAGGGGGAGGAGGGGAGAAGAAGAGACGGGTTAAGGGTGGGAGCTTGGGGGAAGGGAGGGCGTCGGCGGGCCAAGGGTTGAGGCTCCCACCCCTGATGCTTGCAGAGTGGGGGAAGCTGCCGCTGCGCAACGTGCTTCTCCTAGCTTACAGCACCTTCAGCCTCCTTGCCTGCCTCATTGTCTTCAGTGCCAGTGGGCTGTGCCTGTGTGGGGTAAGGCGGGGGCACCTCCCGACCGTAGTACTGTACTATATGGCAAAAAAAATTTCCCTGGAACCTATCCCCCCACATTTACATTCATTCTTATGGGGAAAATGGATTCGCTTAACGTCATTTCACTTAAAGTTGCATTTTTCAGGAACATAACTACAACGTTAAATGAGGAGTTACTGTACATTATAACTCACATTTACATATTTAAATTGTTTGGAGCTTTATGCCCCTTCCCTCCTGTTTTCAAGAAAATATTGGAAAGACAGCCTCTGGTGCTCCTTATAACAGCAGCTTTCTAGCGGTACCCCATTTAATGAAGATATATTTAGCAGTCTTAGGCTACATCTACACTAAAGCCAGGATCCACGCTCAGAGATCGATTCACCAACAGTTGATTTAGTGGGTCTAGTGAAGACCTGCCAAATCGATAACAGATCACTCTCCAGTCGATCCCTATACTTGTCTTCCAATGAGCAGAGTAAGGTAAGTCGAGGGGAGAGTTTCTCCCGTAGACCTCCCCATGGTAACCTGCCCTAAGGTACGTTGACTCCAGCTATGTTATTCACATAGCTGAAGTTGCATAGTGTAGGTCGACTTACAACGGTAATGTAGACATAACCTTAGACAGCTTTACATTTTCAAAGTGCTGTACAAATAATTAAATAGAAAAGCTTCAGCAGGTGTAAGGCAGAGGCAAACGCTAGAAGGCTCCTCCAACTGCCAGCTTAGGAAGCAGGGGCAAGATTCAACACATGCAAGCCAGTAGTAAAAGAATATTGGGAAAACCTACTCCTCAGATACTTAGGGCTTGTCTACACTTACTGGGGGGTTCGACGCCCGCCGACCGATGCATCGGCAGTCGATTTAGTGGATCTAGTGAAGACCCGCTAAATTGACCACCGATCACTCTCCCATCGACTCCTGTACTCCACCTGAAGGAGAAGCGCAAGGGGAGTCGACGGGAGAGCGTCTCCAATCAACATCACATAGTGTGGACCCCACAGTAAGTAGATCTAAGTACGTCGACTTCAGCTACATTATTCACATAGCTGAAGTTGCTTAACTTAGATCGATCTCCCCCCGTAATGTAGACAAGGCCCTAGTAGATATACTCCCTTAAAATCTCCCTCCTGTGAGCAGAGACAAGTAAACATTAACATATCCAAAGAACACAGTAGTTGTAGGAAGAGCAACAGGGACATCTATAGTAACTGGTTTCTTTGTCCATAAAAAGCAGCAACCTGGACTTTTCTTTCCCTCCCTCCTACTATGAGGCCTCTCAACTCACCATCAAGGTGACACTTTCTTATAAAATGGGAGAAGGAACTGAAGATATGCCTGGCCAGATTCTCTCTTCCCCTCCAGCACTACTCAGAATAAGGAATTTCAGGAAGCAAGAAAACTCTGTGGACTCATCTACACCGCATGGTATTGAGCACTAGAGGGGTGTGAATTCTAAAGCTCACCAACAGTTTGGCCAAAAAACAGCCCATGTAGACCCTTTTGTTGCGCACTAAAAGTTCCCTAATGCATGTTAATGTAATACTGTTTCAACAACAGACATATTGAACAGTGTAGACAGCTGAGAGAGGAGTCTCCGTCTGATGTCATCAGCAATGGGTAGAGTCTATTTCCAAAGAGCAAGAAAAGGCAGGGCATACTACATAAAAATACACTATATATGTATACGCACACTTTAAAAAAATGTAATAGCCTTTACTAGGCTATAACAAATCCCATCTGACACTCACTTTTTTCATAACACAAGGATCAGCTATGCTGTAGCACTTCAAAAATCTCACCTTAAAAGCTCTCATCTTTAGATTATGGTTGTGTGACAATACTATAGGAAAGGTGAATGCTTGGCATAATAGAGAGGTGTATAGTTCTGATACCAAGTGCCTTTAGCAGCAGTGTTCTGCGGTTCACAAAATATTGTCTCTCTTGGGTGTTGCTGAATGGTGAGACTTGTGCAATTGTGCTTAAGTCATGAGTCATGCAGAAATTTAATAAAGTGAAGAGAAAAAATGAAAATAATAGAGGAGATGAGACCAGAAATGCTTATAGGTAGGTGTCTATATGATGGTCATTTAAATAGAGCAAAGAACAAATAATGTCTGCATACTGGTATAAAAGAGGATATTAAGGATCAGTAAGTCTGAGACCTTTAACAGTCCACTGGCAGAGAGAGAAAAAGGGGTGGCCTAAATAAATGCTTTTATGATACATCAGACCTTTACGCAGCTGTCTGGTAATCACCCCCAGTATATAGTTGGAACAATACACAAGTCCATAGTGACTCATGAGTGGCTTTATGGCTTGGAAGTTATTCTTCTTACAAGCAGAAGTTATTACATTCTGCCCACTGTGTATCTCATATTTCTACCACCAATTAGCATTTAGCTTTCTTTATATTACTCCCCACATATTTTCACTTGTACAGTATGTCTTTAAGTCAATGAACATTTGCAGTGCTGTTGTGTCCATGTTGGTCCCAGGATATGAGAGACACAAGGTAGTGAAGTAATATCTTTTAGTGGATCAACTTCTGTTGGCAGAACAGACAAGCAGAGGTGTTAATTTCCACTTCATTTGAAGTGGTTTCTTGCAACATGTGTTAAGTCACTATGCTTAACAATCTGTCCCACCTTATATTTAGCTGTGACACTCTGGTTACCTTCTCCAGATCTGAAGAAGAGCTCTGGGAAGCTCGAAAACTTGTCTCCTTCACAAACAGAAGTTGGTTCAATAAAAGATATTACCTCACCCACCTTGTTTCAGTCAGTTAAAGTGTCATTTAGGTGTTCATCTTTTTTTCTGCTAACAAGTCTTCGTTTAAACAAGTATTAAAGATATCACACAATAAACTATATACTAGAAAGGTCACTTGTCAAATTATATTTCATCTTTGGGAAACTGTTAAAAATAAAATTAGCCAGAAACAGGAATTAGAAGCACTATGTCATACATAGGCTTTAAGGGGAAATACCCTGGACATATATCAGAAATCAACTGTCCAAACACGGACCATCTTTCCGGGGTTAAAAATGTGTGGTAGTCTGCACTAACCAATACACCTGGTGAGTCAATACAACATTAGTAAGTGCACTGGTGATGCAATTAAAAAGCAGCAACATGCCCACAGTTAGAACAAGAGGTCCATGCAACCATGATCATAGCAAAAAGGCAGAAGTCTTCACTTTGAACAATAGTGGCAGGACCATTGTAAACAGAAGCAAAAAGACATCTGTTGTGATAACAGCACCACTGTTTACTGAAACTCTTTTTTGGCATGATCACACTCGCATTGGTCCTTATTTTTCACCCTAATTCCCATTTCTTAGTTACTGTAGCTAATAGATCAACTGAAGAATTCAAGAATCAGGGGTGGAAATTTTAAATACAGAAAAGACTTCCTCCATTTCCCTATTCTGATCTTAACAGTGCAGGCCAGTGAATTTTATTCAATGCACAATATATTTGTTTTGCAAATGAACAAATTTTGCACGATATAAGTTTATCTATTTTAAAAAGTTATCTCATGACCCACTACGTTTTCAGCAAAAAGCCAATTAGTTTTTTACATACACACTTTAGCCAGGAGTATGAATCTATGTAGCAAAATCTTTTAAAAAATGGGGTTTATAAATGAAAACTTGTTGATTTAGAATGAAATTTAGTAACTGTTTTTTTAAGTAATGAAACAGCAGGTACACTGGAAGATCAAACTGAAAAACTTACATAACTACATACAAACTATAAACATGAAATTATAATTTCAACTTCTTGATAGCACTTTGAATAATTTACATTATCAAGTCAGATGAACATTTTTGGATGGTGGTCTCCTACAAAAAAAAAAAAAAGGTAACAACTAGATAGTCTCAGGAACTTTGCTGCAAGAAAAATAGGATATTGATCTTACCTTTAACACTTTTTCTGTTAACATCAGCGCCTTTTTCAAGCAAATACTGAGCAATTTCTTTGTGTCCTTTGTAACATGAGATCATCAGGCATGTATGCCCATGTCGGTTTGATACTTCCAAATCAGCTTTATGCTCCACAAGGTACTTTACTATTTCCAGGTGCCCATCAAAACAGGCTGCCCTAAGTGGGGTTGAATTTGTCAGTGTTGTGTTGTTGACAGATGCTCCATGATCTAACAGACATTGGACTACCTTCAAATGACCAGCAGCAGAAGCTGCCCATAATGGAGGAGCCCCCTCAATGGTCTCACCATCAAAATTCACCGAGCCACCAACTTCTATAGAAGCACAGCAATGCTCCAGCAAGTATTCCACCATATCAAGGTGTCCATAACGGGCTGCCATCAAAAGTGGTGTAGCACCACTAGTTTTTTCAGACATCAGCAAGGCCACCTCTTCTTTAGTTTTGTTTGCCAGTAACTTTGCAAGGAGCCGCAGTTTGCCATCACGAGCTGCATTGAACACTGCTGTCTTTAGATCCATTTAGTCTGTGCCGCTTTTATCCTTCAGTGTCACAGATAATGGGACTACTGGAACTACAGAGTCCAAACAGAAGACCCACACCCTTTTCTTAGATCTGTGTTATCTCTGTGAACAAACATGAAGGCTCTGATGAACTGAATTAGGTCCGAACAATTACACAGACTGTGCTCAGCAACCTGCAAGAGAAAAAAAAATTGAAAACAAATTTTTTTTTGCCTCTTTAATACACTAAATCAGTGGTTTTCAACCCTGGGGGGTCCGTGGACTCGGACTAGGGGGGGCGAGAAAGGAGGTCGAACAGTGATTTCCAATCTGTGGTCCGCAGACCCCTGGGGATCCCCAGACTGTCTAAGATTCCCAAAGGGGTACATGCCTCCATTCGAAATTTTTGAGTAATCCGCAAATGAAAAAAAGGGTGAAAACCACCGCACTAAATGCAATGGCACTTTCCTACGCCTTTGCTCAAACTGACCGCCCACTGCTTGTGCTATACACGGCACCAATTCTCCCGAAAGGAAAGGAAGTGCCACCTTCGGGGGCTTCCCCGGGCTTTGGGGAGCGCCCCCTCTCGGGAGGCTGGCGGGAGTGAGCGCTCATCCTCCCCCTGCCTCATTCACACGGGTTGCAGGAAAAACCCCCCTCTGCGCCGGCTGCATAAGGAGCCGCGACAGCTCCACCAACTTCTGCCGGACCCAGCCCGGGCAGGGAGCCGCCGACCGCTCTCTCTGGCCTGGCTCCTCCGCCAAGCAGACCCCGACCGAGCCGATGCACCCGGCTCACCGCCCGCGGGGGCACATCTGGGACCAGGCCAGGGGAACGAGACCGACCTTGGCTCCGCACCCGCCCGGGGGAGGCAGCCCCGCCGGCCCCTCGCCCCCCGCCACCTCTCCTGGCCCCACGGCGCCCCTGCCCAGGCAGGTTCCCAGCCCCCCCGGACCCGCTTCCTTGTCGGCTGGGGCCCGCGGACCCCGCCCGCCCAGAACAGGCTCCGAGCTACCTTCCCCAGGCGCGGGCGCCCCGCCGGCTCCCTCTCTCCGGAGCCGCCTTCACCGGGAAGCCTCCGCCGCGCCCCGCGCCCCATCCAGCTCCTCCATGACAGGCGAGTCCCCACAGCAACGAGCCTCGGCGAGCGCCCAGCCCAGCGCCCAGGCGCAGCCGAACGAGCTGTCTCGTGTCCTCTGCCAGGAGCCCCAATAGGGAAGGGGCCGCCGCCCAGTCAGCCACTTAAAGCGGCGGACTGCCGCGTGGGGGGCGGGGCTTCGCCTGGCTCAAGCTAGGCTGAGAGCGCACAGAGAGGGGGAGTTGCTCCGCTGTGGGCGGAGGGTGCTTAAGTTTCCCTGCAGCTGGCTCGCGCCTTCCCCCTGCAGCGCAGCTCGCCAGGGGGTTAATAGGCACCCAGTGGAGCCGCGTGTGCTGCCTCCCTCGCCTGGAATACAGAAGCCGACCTGTGGTAGCATAGGTGCTAGAACTAGGGGAGCGGGGGTGCTGTAGGACCCCCCCGCTTGAATTGGTGACCATCATATACAGGGTTTACAGTTTGATTCAAAGGCTCTCAGCACCCCCACTATACAAATTGTTCCAGCACCACTAAGTGGTAGGGACGAGAGGGGTCTGGCAAGGCCATGGTCCATCCTAAGCCAGTCACTGCACCTCTCTGCCTCAGTTTCCCCAGTCTGAAAAATGATTTCCCACTTTGTAAAGTGCTTTGAGAGCTACAGAGGCAACAGAAATGTAGGAGCTGAGCATCGTGTTTAGGGTGACCATATTTCCCCAAAGGGAAAATGGGACACTGCACAGTGCTGGCCCAAGGCCCCCCACCAGGCCCAAGCTCCCCCTGCCTCCTGCATGCACGGGGCCAGCCCGAGGCCTCCCTTCCCCCTCCCCCTCCCCCGCATGCGGGACCCACCAAGCCCCACCCCCGTGCCACCTGCCCACGCAGGGCTGGTCAGAGGTCCCCCTGTGTGTGGGACCAGCCCAAGACTCCCTGCCGCCCACCTGTGTATTTGTCCAGTTTGCTCTTGCCAACTGAACATCACTTGGCAAGAACAAATGGGTCAAATGCCCAGTTTTGCCAAAAAAGTTGGGATGGCCAGGACAGGCCTTAAAAAAGGGACTGTCCCAGCCAAAATGGGATGTATGGTCACTCTAATTGTGTTGGACTGTTCCCCTGGAGTTTTGCATAGTGGCTATCAGTGTGTTTAGCCACTATGTGAATCCAGGATTGCACTCAAGCAAACCTGCATGCAGTAAGGGGACTGGATGGCTCAGGGGACTGGTGAGGTGCTGACTGTCAGCTCTGTTAGCAGCCTTTGCAGGAGGCTGGATTTGAAAGAGCATAGAAAGTAAACTCTCTTCTTAGCCCTAGAAGTGGTCTTTTCACATTATGATTGGAGTATGTTAGTGGGGCAACATGGGGAAGTTTGCACTGCTGCTATCCATACTACTTGCCTCGGCAGCTTCTGGGGCTATCAATCTGGCACCTTTCATAGAATTAACTACACTTTAAAAAGTGAAGCTCTATTGTAATTCCAAGTGGATGCTGCAATGCCAGCCTTGTTCTGAGACTTAGGGATGTTTATGAAAAAAGTAGGGAGGGAATTAGGGAGGCTGCTTGGACCTCTCCCACCCCTTCCTTTTCCTCTTCCCACAGAAACCATCCCTGATAGATACAGAAATATTGGCATTTACACATTCTCTTTCTCAGTATTGTCTATTGTGTTGATAGGCTACTACCTGTTCTGAATAGTGCAGGTCTGTCCCATATCTTGGAAGATGCACTTGAAGGACATTTACAAATTCTGAATTTATTGTGGATAGGAAATCACCCAGGATGAGGTAATGCTATGATACAGTGGAATTTGTTACACAGGATAAATCCCTAAAAATGCCAAACTTGGGTCCTCAGAATTCAGAAATGCTTGTTAGCCCTTAGGACAATGGCTAGCCTGATTTGTTTGATCCATCAGAAATGGCCAGCTAACCTGGGACTTCTGAAGAATGCAGTGCTAGGAAAGAGAGATGGTCAGCTCTCTTGTGAACACACCCAGAACCTACCCTCCTCCCATTCTCGCCCTTTTGCATTTTCTCACACCAAGCAGCAGCAGAGGATTGTGTCAAGCCGTTGGGTGGATCAGAAGTAGAATAGAGGCCACAATGGCTCCATGTAGATTGTGCAGCCATTGGGCAAGGTAGAGTGGGGGCAGGGAACAAGATACTTTTTCCTTACTCAAGGTGTAGAAGTATTTTCTTTTGAGGGCATTGAGAAGGGTAGAATTAGGGTGGCAGGTTGAGCCCCTTTAAGAATCTGAGAGGGACATGGCGCTAGGGCAGAGGTGAGGAAACAGAAGAGGGTCAGGAGCAGATACAGAACTAACCCTGCTTCCATTAGCTTCAGTGGGGATAGAATCAGGCCTATTCAAAATACAAGGTTGCATTTGAACATGGGAATAGGGGCAACCCAGGTAATAACCAAATGTGTTATCTGTAAGCCACAGAAGGGATGGGGATAGATACATAGTAGTGATACCAAAAAAAGACCCATGGGAGACAACGGACGGACAGTAATGTAGATATCAGTTTGCAATGCAATATAGTGACAAAAAAATACAATAAAAAAGGCAACATATCATAGACCAGGCTGATGTTAGTGCATTTGTATACAGCACTGGTGAGACCACACCTTGAATACTGATTACATTTCTGTGAACCCTGGAATTAGAAGGATTAAAACAAATTGGAGGGAATTCAGAGAAGAGCAATTAAAATGATTAAAGGCCTGGTTGTATTAATGTATGAGGAAAGATTAGAAGAAGTAAATATCTATAGCTTGGTTAATTGCTAAAGTAGGGGTACGGGGAATATAGAACTGTCTACAAGATTGAAAGGGAGGGAAGGGATATTTAAGGTGGTTCAGGGGTTTTCATGAGTAGTAATGGGATGAAATTAAGCAAAGGAAAATGTATGCTTAATATCAATGAACTTTTGGTGATGAGGATTGGATTTGGATTGGAATAGTCACCTAATAGTTTGTGGAAACCCACAGCTTTATTCATTTAAAGTTAGACTGTATATTGTACAGTCTAGATTGTAGATTGTATATACAAAGAATATACTGTAGGGAACAATTCTATGCTGGCAGGGAGATAAGATAACCTAATAGGTCTTGTCTTTCTAATTTTTAGAGTATTCCACATGATCACCTGGAGAAAATGTAGGACATAATCTTTCAGATTCATCCTCAGAGGCCCTGATCCAATAATGAGCCCTGCTTGGGAAGACCTCTGTTCTTGCATGAAACTCACTGTAGGACTGGGCCATTGTACACTGCTGTAAGTAGTCCTGTTGATGTCCGAGGGAATATTAATGGTGGTAAGTACTAGATCCAGCATTGCTTCACTGGATTGTAAGAAACTGTAGACACAGAACTGGCATTGTATAAATGAGACTGGAGGAATGTTGTGGCAAATTTCTGAGGGAAATAAAGGATTTGTCTTGACATTTTAGAAAAGTAATTGAAAAATCCTGAGTGCAGGCTTTGATGGATGAATGAATGAATGAATGAATGAAAGAAATAAAATGGCAGTGGCAACCTGTGTGGAGCCCTTCTGCTATCCTTTTCTCCCGTGCATAGTTCCTTTTCATACTTAGGCATCCATATATCTTTTTTAATTCTTTCAATAGCTTTATAAATGTAGTACTCATGAAAGTGAAGAATTTATAGGGCTGTAGGTATATTTCTGACAATCCTGCTAAATCCTGACCTGCATCATCCCCTGACATTCCATTCCTGAGCTTCCACGCTATTCTGTTGAGAGTGTACCTGACTTGCAATGCCTGGCCTTCTATTTCTAGAAAACAGAGACAGTAATCATGCCAAATTGTATTAAAGTTACTGTGATCTGGATCCACTAGGATCTAGAATGGATCCTCCAAAGCCATTTTGCTGTATCTAATGTATTTTGCTGTTCTCCAGACTAATGTATTAGTCTATTGTACCTCAAGCCCTCCTAAAAACAGATTCGGGGTTACCACTTCACCCTTCAAGACCTCAGTTTAAAGTTTTATGAGGCACACTGTTGTGTTCTTTCCTCTGACATGCTCTCAGTATTCTGGCTGTAGATAGGTGTTAGCAACAGCATGTGAAGTGATAATTTCCATCACTGCCACTGGGTTCCTTCTCACCCTGAGTTATTCTTGGTCTCGCATTTATTGATTCTCTAAATCAGGGGGTCCCTGATAATATGTACCACATATTAATAGAGAGTGTGTCTTGCGGATATGTACTGTTCTGTTTTCAATTGCCAGACATCTCATCTCCCATTTATGATTGTATATTATCCCTGTGGCAACTACAGCAATCGGTTACGTGAAAAGTGATATTAAAGGAAAATACTTAATGTATTTTTAGCTTCTTTTAATGTGAGTTAGCAGCTGGAAGTAAGTTTGTACCTATAACTCAAGAACGGAAAGGCTACAGGTATTGACAACAACATCCCAGCCGAACTGATTAAATTCAGAGGAGAAATAGTAATAGATGTACTCACCAAGATCTGCAACAAGATCTGGCAAACCGGTGAGTGGCCCTCCATGTGGACACAGTCACTAATCATCACTCTGCCAAAGAAAGGCAACCTGCAATTGTGTCAAAATTACCGGACCATAAGTTTGATTAGCCATCCCACAAAGTGATGTTGAAAGTCATATTGAACAGATTGAAGCCACAAGCGGAGAATATCATTGCTGAAGAACAGGCTGGCTTTCGTGCTGGAAGAAGTATCACAGAATAGATTTTCAACCTTCGTGTTCTATGTGACAAGCACTTACAACACCAGCAGGACATCTACCACGTTTTGTTGACTTCAGGAAGGCCTTTGACAGAATATGGCACAAAGCTCTCTTGGCAACCATGAAGATGTACAATGTTGGTCGTAAGCTTATTCATACCTTTAAACAACTGTATGCCAAGGCCAGCAGTGAAGTTCTCATCAATGGCACAATAGGAGAGTGGTTTCGCACCATTGTTGGAGTCCGGCAAGGCTGCCTTCTTTTGCCCACACTGTTCAACATCTACTTGGAGTGCATAATGACTGATGCCCTAGAAGATCACATATGCACAGTCAGCACTGGGGGGC